TAAATTATGGAGACAATTAGAAAATGAAGTACCAAAAATTGAAAAGTCATCCATAAGTACCTGTAAGCAGTCCTCGAGCATATCAGAAAAAATGGAGAACATGCACCGTTGGAAGGTCCCTGGTGCATTGCATAGGCCGAAGGGCATACGTCTGAAGGCGAATATGCCGAACGGGCACGTGAAGGTCGTCTTGGGCTGATCCTCCGGAGCTATGGCTACTTGATAGTAGCCTGAGAGTCCGTCGAGGAAGCAATAGAACTGGTGGCCTGAGAGTCGGTCGAGAATTTGGTCAATAAACGGCAACGGGAAATGGTCCTTCTTGGTCACGGCGTTGAGTCGCCTGTAGTCAATGCACATCCTCCACCCAGTGGTAATGCGGGTAGGAACCATCTCCTTTCTTTCATTCTCAATCACCGTAATGCCTCCCTTCTTGGGCACCACATGAATGGGACTCACCCACTCACTATCTCCCACTGGATAAATGAGACCCTCGGAGTAAAGTTTCAGCACCTCCTTCTTTACTACCTCCATCATGTTCGGGTTGAGCCGCCGCTGGCTATCCCGAAATGGCTTGGCTCCTTCCTCCAAAACAATTCGATGCATGCAAGTAGAAGGGCTGATCCCCTTTATGTCGCCAAGGCTCCAACCGATGGCCTTCTGGTTCTTCTTTAGTACCTCAATCAGCTCCTTCTCTTCTTCCCGGTTGAGCTCGGCAAAGATTATCACCGGCTTTTTCTTCTCATCATCTAGAAAGACATACTTGAGGTGACGAGGCAACTCTTTTAACTCTAGTGCTGGTGGGGTTATCGATCTCGGCTCGTCAACTTCCAACAACTCAATAACCGGGCCTTCCTCTTCCTCAAGTTCGGGCATCAATCTCTCTTCCAAATCTCGAACGACAACTTCTTCCACGAATGGGTCACTCACATCTATAAAAGCACACTCTTCCACAAAGTTCACCGAGGATGCCGAGGTGGCTTCTCGGACGGAAATGGACACGGATTCACCTAGACTGTCATGTTCAACGTCCCATTCCTCACGTCAATGAGTGTGTTGGTAGTGGCCACGAATGGTCTACCCAGAAGGATGGTGTGATCCTTCCCATTCTCCTGAACGTCCCCCACATCTAGTACCACAAAGTCTACTGGGAAAATGAGTCTCCCAACGCGAACAAGGACATCCTCAACTACCCCCTTGGGGTATCTGATAGAACGGTCTGCGAGCTGAAGGCACATGCGAGTGGGTCTCAAATCTCCTAAACCGAGCCGCTGGAAGATAGAAAACGGCATGAGGTTGATTCCCGCTCCGAGGTTGAGTATCCCCGAAGCCTCCTTTCCATTCCCCAGAGCAATCTTTATCACGAAACCTCCGGGGTCTCGTTCCTTCTTTGGAAGATAATGCTGCATAGCACTTGCAGCTTCATAGACAATCACCTTCTCCCCGTCTCCGAACT